GTGTTATGTACAACACCCATTATAACTTTGTTCAGAATGCGAGAACAAAAAAGCCAACGACGGATTCGTGATCCCCACCCCAAAATTGACCCACCCTGAAATTTTCAGATCGATATGACGATTTTTCAAAACTGGGGATATTTTGGCACCATCCCCGGTCTGTGCGTTTTCGAAAATTGGCAAGGGAAAAAGAGCAAAATACATTGAAACCCGGCCACCACCATCAGGTTTGTTTTTGAAATTTAGCATATCATCATAAGTATGATATAGGATCATTGTATTAAAATTTCAAGGGTTAGGGGGGGGAAAGTGACGATCCGTCCCCCCCCCCAAAATAAATTCGGCTTTACCGCGGAACCCGCCAGAGGTCAGGGTTAGGGTTAGGGTTATTGGACCGGAACGAAGCAACTAAACACATTCGTTCAAGTCCTGTGCAACAATAGACCTCGTGCTGATTGGAGCCTTGTAGAGCGACATGTACAAGTACAGCTGGTGGGGTGTTTAAGCGTTAACCGCCCCACCGTTGGGGTGGTTGCTATTACCCCATCGGCGGGGTGTTTAGCCGTGCTGGTTGTTTTTTTCCTCCGTGCGGAGCAATTTGTTTTGTTTGTGCACTGGCCTCAGGGCAATACGTCGCCCCGGTGGTCTAGTGGGTAGCCTCGCAGCCTGCTGAGGGCCAGATCGTGGGATCGAGTCCCGACAGAGTGAGTTTTTTCTCGCTAATTAAATCCTGGTCTCCGTTTGGAAGCGACGCGCTGCAAAGCTCGTTTGTAAACTTGACGACTTCTGAAGTCGCGAGGGAAGGGATTACTGGACCCTTGTCACGAAAAAATAGCATGAACCGCAGGAGGGGGTCCAACCCCCCTCTCCTATGTGACCCCGGTTGGGTCGTGTAGAAGTGGAGGATAGGGGCCAGAGGGGCAGACGACAGAGTCCAATGATGCAAGGGTGTGTTTAGTACAGTACAGTACTTTTATTCCACTATTGAAGTCCGTACTAAAGCAGCCAGTACAGTAGTACCGAGTACCGAGGGCCGTGTTGTCAGTACAGTACATTCCAGTATCGGAGCTGTACTTGAAGTACTAAAACTTTATTCCAGTATCGAGAGCTGTACTAAAACAGCCAGTACATTCCAGTATCAAGAGCCGTACTAAGGGTGCAGTTTATTCCTGTACCGCGAGCTGTACTAAAGTACTGAAACTTTTATTCCAGTATCGAAAGCTGCACTAAAAGTACTGAAATTTTTTATTCCAGTATCGAGACCTAAAGTACTGAAAATTTTATTCCAGTATCGAGAGCTGTACTAAGACAGCCAGTACATTCCAGTATCAAGAGCCGTACTGAGGGTGCAGTTTATTCCAGTACCGCGAGCCGTACTAAAAGGACTGAAACTGTTATTCCAGTATCGAAAGCTGCACTACAAGTACTGAAACCTTTATTCCAGTATCGAGAGCTGTACTACAACGCCAGTACATTCCAGTATGCCTCGCAGGTACTGAATACTGTGCAGTACCGCCAGTATCAAGCGCTGTACTGAAGCGTGCAGTGTTGCACAGTATTACAACAGTACAGGATGGAGAGCAGACCTCCACCAGAGCTTGTACTGAGCGTACTGATAGGTTGAGCGGAGTATCGAAAGCCGTACTATAGAGATGCAAATGCATGAAGCACCGAAGCAGTTCTAGCACTACCACTTCTCCACGTGCACTTCACACTTCTCCGCCCTTTGGGAAATCCTAATCCTAATCCTAACCCTATCTACGCTGCTTTGAACCCCCCCCCCCTCCCCGCCCGATGCTCCCTCGCCCCGTCCCTCGGCCTTGGCGGTCATGTGTAGTACTCCACATCCTCCAGTCCTCCTTCACTGATGACTACCCATCCCCATTATCGCCAATAGCAGACGTGTTGGGAGGTGTCTTGTTTTCCAGCGGATCAAGGGCCATCTCTGCGTCGAGGAGATATTCGTTTGTTCCCTTGAATTTCGCAGGGAGACACTCCCTGATGCTCTTCGAGTCCATGTTGGGGATGTCGTCGTACCCGGGAATACACTGGAAGTTTGCTTTGAGAAACAGCACCATTTCCACCCAGTACTCGTCTAAACGATTGCGGTTTGAAGCACCAAGAAGACCGCCTGTGCTAAAGTCTCTCTCGATCTGAGCGGCATAGGCTTGGCTGCCGAATCTCTGCTGCGCCACATAGTTCAGAGCGGGGAACGCATGTCTCCCGGATTGCTTCCAGTAGTTGAGGACGTCTCTCGGCTGCAACTGCACGGACACGGAAGGGCCGCGGGATGAAAGGGTTTTATATTATTGGTTTTTAGATTAATTTCGCGTTTTACACAGCACTTGGACATCGATTTAGGGAAGCGCTGTCTTTTTGTTGAATCTGAACACAGGACCATCAGAAAAAAAATATATACTACTACTGCAACTGCACTGTGACTCAGAGAACCTAGCAAACACGGTTTGAGATCGTCTGCAAAAATAAAGCGATCACCCACAATTACCGCAGTGCTAATGCCACTGCTGTAGCGCAGAAACGAAATAAAAACTAAAACAGACGTGTTTTCGTTTCACCTTAAGGTGCTTTTTTTTTACTCACGTCGGATGAGTTCATCTGAAGTGCCCTGGACCGCTGGATCTCGCCCGCAACGCTCAAATCCCCATCATCCCCACTGCCGCTTTGTTCCACGGCGCCTGCGGTGCATAAAACTGCGAAGTGGTCCTCGCCAGCATCATTGCGGGCTGATCCGTTCCCGCTAGTGCGGGCACGCTTGAAAGGACCCGCATCCCCCCCGCCGTCGCCACTGCCGTTGGCCTGAGCCTGATCTTCCTTGACGGCTTGTATGGCTCGCTTCTTGATCATGCCCCAGGCCTCCGCCTTCTTGTCCTCTACGTCTTCGTCCGTTGTAGGGGTTAGCACTGTCAAGCCGGTGGGCAAGTAGTCGCCCTCCTCTTCAGTGAGCTTCATCGCCGAAATATGTATTCCGGAACTGTACGGCGGCGTGAGGAGGCAGGAAGAATCGACGAAGGAGGGATCCACACAGCCGGCCCAGTATCTACCGAAGAGCCTTGCAACGAGTGCACGGCAGAGTTCCTCCCGCGCCTTCTTTGCCGCGGGGTGCAAGTTGCCGTGTGCTACCATCTTGTGCGGCAGAGGTTTATTTTGTTCCTCGCGGTCCGGGAGTCCGTTTTCCCCAACGCGCGGGGTTTCGTAGACCTTGAGCTCCTTCTCCAGGTTCAGCATTCCCATCTTGAGGATGCCCATCTTCATGTAGATGTCCGCCATCATCGGTGCACCCCCGTACTGGCCATCACGGGTGATCATGCAAAGCGGCTCCAACAGCGAGTAGAGCTGAAGAACGCCGTTCTTGTTGTCGCCCTCTTCGAGTGGAAAGACCTTCCCCTCGTCGCTGTAAAGCTTTCTCAGGGCGTGCCACAAGCGGATGATGCGCTCCATGGTGCGTACCATGCTGAGCCACCGTTGGGGAGCGTGCTTTACGACCTTCAACACCTCGCCCAACAGCTCCGTCTCAAGGTCCTCGAACTTCGCCCTCAAGTTGGACGACTTGTTGAGGTTCTCGACCACCTTGATGACGACCTTGATGACATCGCGCGCTCCCGGGTTCTTGGATTTGGTGGGATCGGGATGGACGCCAAAGGCTTGCTCGGCGGCCTTGACCATCATGTGGCAAGCACATCAATTCCAAAGAACCCCATAGTGCGCGTGGAGGTCGTTGACGCTCACAGCCTTGACGTCCGATCCAGAGTCCGTGGTACCCGAGGCGAGGTCCGATGGGCTCAGGCCGAACTCGACGAGGATGGACTTGACGATCTTCAAAAGCACCTCCGAGGCACTCGCCTCGGATAAAGCGCCCTGGTCGGGCGAGTATCGCTTGACCTGGGGTGGAATGCATGAGGGGAGGCATGGAGGACGACAGAAAAAAACGTTATTCGAGCTTTTTTGGCGAAGCAGGCAAAAACAGAAAGACGAAAAAATATCCAACGTATGTTCTCGATCTGTCCCTGAAAACCCAAGCGCAAAGGCAGCAATCAAATCCAACACAAGGAAAAAAAAAAGCAAACCCGATCCTAATCCTCCCCGCCTCCTACATTTGAATCCCGAACGGGCTCTAAAGGAAGAAAATCAACATACGAGTGAGATTTGATCTTTTTTTTGGATGACAAGTCTCCAACACGGAGCCGTCAGCCTCTGCCCACATACGTTTAGGTTTAGCCTTGGGTTTCACGCTCCAACACCAGAGTTAGCACATACACAGAGCAGGGCGTGCTCCATTTCGAAACTTGCGGTCACGTAGTAGAGGTGAACTCCCAGGAACTTCCGCCCCGAACCCTTGTCAGTCCAGATGTCGATCATGTGGTGCAGAATGGGAAGCGGTGCCTTCCGCACTTCCTCCAACATGTTGCCCACGACTACCTGCAGCGAAACGGCGCGTGTTGTGGGGTATGAACAAAAACAAACATCAAAATACTTCTATTTTTTGTTTCGATCAGTGGATCAGTGCTCACCGAACTCGCGCACGGTGGGAGCTGCATCCGTAACAATCCACAAATTGAATTGAACCACACGTTACAACTACAACTGGACTTTGAAGATTAAACATGAAGTTGCACGCGAAGACTTAAAAAAACTTCGCCGTCGATTGGCTTTATTTAGCTTTCCACCAGCGTAATTAAACTGTGACTCAGGCATTTAACATTTCACCTTTCGTGGCCACGTACCACTCGGTGAGAAGGTGTTTCACACGCCGCGGCAGCAGTGGCGGGAAATCGGAATCCCCGATAAGCGCCAGCAGCGTCCTGAGCTCATCCCCACTGGAGAAAAAGGACACCGGCAGCAACTTCTCCACGAGAAGCCTCATCGCCAACAGTTTCTTCACCCTGCAAACAAAAAAACAGCAGTGGAGCAAATCTTTCCATTTCAATTGAAAAAGCTCCAATCACACTCCAAAAAATAAAAAACGAATATAAATATTAATTTTTATTTACAGCAATGGCCAACAACGGGAATACCCGGAGGGTTTCCGGCCAAAAACGGGTATCCCATCAAAACAACTAGACGAAATTCGCAGCACACACCCGATCTTGGCCGCATTTCCGCCGGGTATACCCGATCTTGGCTGCTCACCCCGCGTTGGCTACCGGAATGGAATGCGTGTACCCGATTGTGGCCACAGGAGACTACCCAAATAGTAGCCTACACTCGCACAAACGCACATCACATCGACAACGCAGCCGCGTCGTTGTTGTGGCTACGCCGAGGCGAGCAGTGTTATCGTGCGGCAGAACATGTCTGTCAGCAGTATCGCGGGCAAGTACTAGTCCACGCCGGACCGACCATAAACGGCAGTCATAGGATAAGAAACATCGGTGGTATTCGCCGTGGACGACAACCTCAAACGCCCCCATGGTAAATGCGCGGCAGAAATTGATGATCCAGGAAGGCTATACAGCAGTATCGATGGAACTAAAACTACTGTAAGTGACACAAGATAAGCCACCTGACATCAGATAACACCCCCCCACAGAATACGACACCACGGTGATAATTTTGGGCGTTTCTGGCAAACCATCGATTTATCACCCGGGATACACAAGATAAAACACCGGTGATACATTAGATTACGCCGCATGTATTCACGGGGCCCCTCCTTTTCCTTTTTTTTTATCACCGGGGTGGCAGCATCTGCCCTTGGGCATCACACAAAACACACCCTTCGTGTGCGGGGAAAACACCCCGCATGGAGACCTCCAACAACATGAACGTGCGGGAAGAAGAGCAGACTGCCGCCGCAAGTACCTCCGCAGCTGCTTCGACCGCAGCAGCACAGGCGTCGCAGATCACCTCGTTCTTTGAAACCAAGCAACCTTCTTCTACGCAAGCGCCTCCTGCTTCGGCTCCTCCTCCTCCTGCTGCTGCTGTTGATCTAACGACAGCAGCAGCAGCTGGCACTGCAACAGGCGCCAACATGACAGCCACCGCCTCGCCTCACCAGCAGCCGGTTGCTGACTCGCTCTCAGCTGCACGTACGAGTACCGCAGAGGAGTCAACACGCGCCACCAGCCAAGCCTCTCAGCTGGTGGTGGAGGACGTGGTGGAGGACCAGGAGCCAAGCACTTCATTCGGCACGGAAGAACGATCCAAGTGAGAAATGTGTGTGTGTGCTTCGTGGGTTTGGCGTACAGCAGTGGTATCGGTCCGCGTGTGGTCTCGAAACGTGCAATTTTGGGTTGGCTTCTGCGCCACCCGCAGACTCCCGCGTTCGTGTAATTTTTTGACATTGGTTTTTGAGCCAAATGTTCGCGGTACACATTTTTGAAGTTGTTTTGTGCGTAGCTTTTTGTGCGCCACACGTGCCGGCGGTCAACACATTTTTGTATGTGTGTGTGTACCTAGGCATATATGATTTTTGTTCTTGCATGACGTTTTGTGTTGCGGAAATACCGCAACTTTGTTTGCAGCTGGCATACCTGAGTAATTTTCCAGTTGTTGTTCTCTGCCTTGCACATGTGTTTAATTCACCCACGAATGGTAAAATAATAACAGTTGTAATTATCGCAGCATTGTTGCCGCTGATTTACCGGTACCTAGATGGTGCNTTATAACAATTGTAATTATCGCAGCATTGTTGCCGCTGATTTACCGGTACCTAGATGGTGCATCCGTGCCTGTTTTGCAATTTTTTGTTCACCCTCACGGTACTTTCAACCGCAAACGGTATTTGGAGAATTGGAAACGGTGCCCTTTCGACTATAAAAGTCAGCCAGCACTTTATGAAAGAAATCTTTGGTTTCTACCCACACGACAAATGTTTTCGTGCGTTCACACATTGACCGCTTCGTTCCATCCCGCACATGATGTCTACTCTTGTCTTTTGTAGNAGCAGCGGCAGCAGCAACACCCACACCAGCACCAGCGTCAGGAGCTCCGGTGGCCAACGATGGCAAATCCGGCAACATGATGTTTCCCGGAGAGACAGAGTGGGGAGATGGGCTCGGCGGTGTTCTCTTCGGTACGCCGGCACAGAACAAGGGCAAGAGGAAGAAAGGGCGGCTGGAGCTGGAGCCGCCGGACTTCCCGATTCCCGACCATCATGGTGGAACCCAAAGGAAGCGCTACACCTTGCAGTTGAAGGTGAATGCCGTGAGGTACTCGCAGAGAAAGCTCAAGGGGGCGCAAGGACCGGGCGGGACTGTTTGCGTAACATACGCCAGCAGGGTCCTCAAGATTCCCGACAAGGCCACGTTGGCGGCGTGGGTCAAAGACGTCGACAAGTACGAAGCCGCGCTTGCGGAGGAGACCAAGTACTCGCGAGTGAAGGGCAGGAAGAAAGCCAAGCACCGCATGTCGCTGAACGTCGGACGGACTAGGACGCACACGGACGCCGAACGCGAGGTCGTGGACTGGATCAATGATCTGCGTTCTGACGGCATCTCCGCCCGTGTCTCGACGAGGATGATCACGAACAAGGCCACGGAACTCAACCCGAACTTGTTCGGGGAGAGGCCGCCGCCGTCCGACATCGAGGGCAACCTGCGGTGCACCCGCAAGAAGACCGCGTGGTGCAGAAGGTTTCTCAGGGTCTACCGCTTTTCTGTGCGAGCCGCACCCGTCAAGGCCAGAAACTTCCTACCGGCTGGCCCGTGATCGCCATGCAGGCAATCAAGGGGTGGAGGAGGCTGAAGTACGACGTCCCTTCCGCGCTCGAGCTTGCGGACGGAGTCGAATGCCTGGGGGCAGTGGCGGGAGGCAGCGCGAGCGGCAGCGGGGGTGGGAGTGGCGCTGGAGTTCCGTCGGGGCCGAGTCCCAAGTTCGCCTTGGCGCAGATCGCCAACATGGATGAGACTCCTACGTGGATGGAGAACCCGGGGAACAACACTGTGGACGTGAGTGCCTGGTTGTTCCTTTTTTGCCCTAGTTTTCCCTCGTGCTTCGTTCGATATAGCGATCCCTATCTTGGCCTCCATACATGTACGTACCTAGTTTGAGTGTACGATATATATGTACATGCGTAGTTTCCGTCTTTTCTTGGGCGTCCTGTCCTCCGCTGATTTTGGTTATATTTTTTTACAACCGCTGCTCTCACTTTCAAGCTTGACATGAAAAATCAATTCTGCATACCCGACGTTGACGTCGCTTTTCGCTGCTCTATGGAATCCCGCAGCGCACCGGCGACAAGGAGGTTGGCGTCAAAACCGGCGGCAAGGAGAAGATGCGCATCACTTCGGTCCTGACGGTGTTCGCCGACGGCAGCAAGCTGCCGCCCCTCGTCATCTTCAAGGGCCAGCCCACGCCGAAGGGGAAGGCCCCTGCCGCCAACAGCATCGAGCNCAGCGAGCCGCCGCCCCTCGTCATCTTCAAGGGCCAGCCCACGCCGAAGGGGAAGGCCCCTGCCGTCAACAGCATCGAGCGCGAGTTCAAGGACTACAAGGACAAGAAGGGCTACGCATACCCTCGAGGTGTCGTCTACGCCGTGGACCCGAAGGCATGGCACTCCCAGCGGGTGTTCAACGAGGTCTGGCTGCCTCAGGTGTGGAACCAGCGCCCGGGGCGGCAGGGTCGCCTGGGCGGCTACCGTCAGCCTGACATGCTGCTGGCGTGGGACGACTACACCGTCCACAAGACGGACGCGTCTACCAAGGCGATGGCGGAGTCCAACACGACGCTGTTTCTCATCCCGGGAGGCCTGACTCCCAAGCTCCAGCCGTGCGATGGCCTCGTCAACAAGATCTTCAAGGCAAACATGTCCAGGCTCTACGACGACCACATGGCTTCCCCTCACGTCAAACGCGGCGACCACGGCTACCCGGAGCCCCCTTCGCGGGGGTTAATCGCACAGTGGGTCAAGAAGTCGTGGGACGCCTTGACCGCGGATGAAGTCCGCGCGAGCTGGAGGAAGGCTGGCCTGCTGCTTCCCTTCGACGGGTCGGAAGACGAGGCCTGGGCCAACAAGGAGCTCAACTCCAACGCCCAGGGGGAGCCCCTCGACGCGCCATCGGCCGGTGCGGACAAGGCTGACTCGTCGTCGGGAGGCGGCAACTTGCTGGAGGTGTTGGAGATCGACGATGACGACGACACGGGCGTGGTGGTGGTGGACATCGGCGACGACGAGGGCGAGGAGCCGTGAGGCATCGGCGGCGATGCTGGTGTTGAGAAATGGCTTGTGGTGTCCTTCTCATATTCCTTCGCATTTCTCCTGGCGTGCGTTTCTCTTCCTTCGTCGTGTGTTTTCTTCGACGCGTCGAGTGCAACGTAGTGTTGTTTGCGGTAGTGGTTAGTGGTCTTGATTTTTTTTGGCCGTGGTGACATAGCAAGGTAGGTAGCAGCGGCCTACTAGGTACTTGTTTGTGAGGGGGTAGGACGGAATGGCCACTCTGTGGCGACCGCCTGGCATTATATCGGGCGAGGTACCTTTGATTTTTGTGTTTTTAGTTTTTGATCCTGCAATCATGATCGAAACACGGATGCTGCTTGGTAGATGGACCCGTTATCATTTCTGGTTCTTGTCCCCGCCTTTCCTGGGTCATAACGTATACCTAGCTCCCAGGCGACACCTTACTTGCCGCAGCGCCGCGGGGCGTGGGCGTNGAGGTACCTTTGATTTTTGTGTTTTTAGTTTTTGATCCTGCAATCATGATCGAAACACGGATGCTGCTTGGTAGATGGACCCGTTATCATTTCTGGTTCTTGTCCCCGCCTTTCCTGGGTCATAACGTATACCTAGCTCCCAGGCGACACCTTACTTGCCGCAGCGCCGCGGGGCGTGGGCGTCCTCGATCCTAACATTTTTTTTTCGTTTTTTTCTGCTCCATTCAAGTCCGTTTTTGTTTGAAACTTTCTTTGGCGTTGAGCGGGTAACACATCGTCGAGGTCATGTGCTGAAGCGTTTCGTCACCTCCGTTGAGCCCCGTCTGTTTACCACATGTCGCAGTATTACATTACGGTAGGTGGCGTACCATGGTATGTGCGGGGCAGTATAACAAACCCCTTCATTTACCATCACACGTGGGTGTTGGGACGTGCTATCACACCCCCTTTTTATCACACCCCTCATTTATCACACCCCCAAACATAACCTGTGGGTGGTCCGACGTGCTATCACCCCCCCCGGTTTATCACACCCCCTTAGGGCTCCCTGCGAGCTGCACTTTATCACCCGGGATACATAAGATACCACACCCACCACAGGGTACCACACCGGTGATAAATATTTTTAAACTCAGAAATGTTACCACCGGGGTGTGTTATCTTGTGTCACTTACGATAAACTAGTACTTCTACTTGGTACTGCTGTATTGCTGTCTGCTGTGGAGGTACTGGTAGTACGGTACAGCCAATTTTTCCTTGGTTACACGATCAACACACCTTGTTGCTCCAACGCCGAACGTCTTGAACGAATCGATAGCTGCTGCGATGGTCCCCTCTCTCTTCTGCTGATGTTCTAGTCTCACTAACCCCCCGGAGCCCTGCAGTGCGTGCGCGGTCTTCACGTGCTTGTTGACGTTGCTCTTGTTCCGCCTATTGCAAGACATGGGTTGTTTGGTGGAAGACGTCCGGCACGAGCCTAGCTGGCATTTGAAGAAGCCCTTGAATTGCGAGGATGTCCTCGGAACACCAGCTGACGTTTAGTAATTTCCACAGCTGAACAAGTAGCTGTCCTCACGGGCTCCTTCCCGCTTGTGACCGGGCGGGGGTACGAACGCCTCGATGGCAGCGATCGTAGCCGCCGGCGCCTCGACCTTCCTTCCGTGTTTGTCGCATATCGGAAGGGGCTTCTTTTGCCGCACCGACGCCGAACCTCCTCCACCCACAGAACCCTCCTCCACGTCTCCTTGCTTCTCCTCGTGGGTTAGGTCTTCTGGTGTTGATGCACCCGCGGCGGCATCACTCGCCGCTTCTGCGGCCGAACTACCTGCGGCGTCACCCATCGCTGCCTTGTGCTGGCTGCGGGCCACTGCTCGAGTACCCGTGGTCAAGTTCCGCAGTACACTGGACACGGCAGGACGACCTAGTCGTGTACTTGCAGCAGGAGTGGGACTGTAGGACTAGACCAATTGGACGAGGCTGTGCTGCATTTGTGCCAGAAGATGACGTCTCCAACGCTCTCTCCAACACGCCCTTCGGTGGATTTCGGGTAGATACCGGGTAGATACGGGCAGTCGTACGACCCCTGCCGTCCAGTATCGACACCGTACTAAAGCGTGCAGTACGTTTATTCCAGTATTGAAGTCCGCACTAAAGCAGCCAACACAGTACAGTTTGTTGTTGTTGTTGTTGTTGTTGTTGTTGTTGTTGTTGTTGTTTTTTCTCACGTTAGCTCTAAAAAAGAAAGATTGGGAGCCCGTGGTCTCAAAACTCGGCATACACGACCCCACGAAGAAACAGAAAAAAATAGGGTACAAAAACCACTCGGAAGAGAAACAAAATGATACAAAGAAAGACCAGCTACCGCACCAAACGAGAAAGAGCGTCGAGGAGACCGATCAAAATAAAATAAAAGGAGAACGGGGAACGCTTCCCACACCCGCCTACAACGCCGGAGGGTTCCGTGCCGGGTTCCCGCCGACCAGGCATCCCCCGCCCTGCACCACACCCCAGGGGGTGCAGCAAGACGGGGGGCGAAAAACAAACACATATATATTCCCATAAAAAAAAAAAAATCGAAGGACAACGTACACCAGTACCAGGTACTACAGCAGTGCAGTATGCACCAGCGCATTAGTGTAGGGTAGGCACCGCACCAAAGAGGCAGCAGAGGTGGCAGGCAGCCAGCAAAGGAAAAAACAAAAATAACAAGGAGCTCGAGGTATCGTCCAAGATCATCGTAGAGAGGGCATGGAGAACAAGAAAGAAAGAAAGGAGAAAAGCACAAAGAGAGGCCGGCGGCAATACTAAGAGC